CAGGCTCTGAGCCATCAGCCCAGAGCCCGACGCGGGGCTCGAACTCACGGACCGCGAGATCGTGACCTGGCTGAAGTCGGACGCTTAACCGACTGCGCCACCCAGGCGCCCCAAAGCAGTATTTTTAAATGTCAGAAATTCCCTACCATATATAATTGAAAGCTGGCTAGATGACACACAATACGGACACAAACCTTTAAACAGTTGCTATTTTTTTTTTTAAGCTGAAGACACAGTATTTTGTAAAGACTGTTTTGTAAAGACTAAATCGAACCCCGATTCGGAATCTGAACAACCAGCAAGTACAACTACAAATTTTTCACAATACGATGCCACAACTTGCAGTTATCTCCTTAAGCCAACAGACATCTACACGCTAATCAGTATCTTTAAAACCCTCATTAAAAATGAAAGTGAACTGGGGTGCCTGGATGACTCAGTTGTTTGAGTGCCCAATTTGCACAATCAAGACAGATACACACATGCCCCAGGCAGATACACACATGGCCAATATAATATGGGCAGTCCTGTCACCCCAATCACTAGCAGCAATAGCCACTTCCAGTGCCGGAAGACTTCCACACAGGAATGGATGGTGCCAAGATCAATGACAAGAATAGATCCCTTCAATGAGGCAGCCGAGCAGAGGGTTTGGCTTGAGAAAGATGAGACACCACAGTTGTGCTGCAGCATTCAGCGAGTGGAGCGATTGTGCAGAAATCATTTTTGATCTAATTTCTTTAATAAAGTAAGTCCTGACCTACAGTTAGTTTGCTGAGCTCTGTGGCAGGCTGGGTTCTCTGGGAAGCAGACTCTGAAGTTTAGAATACAGGATGCCTGTCTATCCAGGAGTGCCCTGGGTGTCAACAGCTGGGAGGGGGAGAGGAGGAAACAGGCCTGGGTAGAGCGAGAAGTTTCTGCATTGCAGGCCCATCCAGAGCGTGCTCTGGAGCCACAATGGCCCCTCACCTCCTTCAATCCCTGAATGTGGGCTGGCTTGAGAAGTTCATGGCCTCCAGCAAGAGGATTTTCTGCAGCTAACATACTCTTGAAGAGGCTGAGAATTGAATGTTCTCTGTCAAGGAGACCTGGTCAGCACAGAGTCCTTCACTGAAGCAAGAGTTCTTCAATAAGAAGGATCTAGGTGGCACATTTCAGAAGCACCCCAGCTGTTTTCTGGACCTTTCAGTCTGAATCACCTGTTGTGTGCACTCCGACTTTACCAGCCCAGGTACTGTAGTTATTAGGATACAGGCAAGAAATGTAAAGATTGAGACTTAAGCTCTTCAGAACCATATTACCTTTTGAGAATGTATTATAAGCTTCAGAGACCCTCCCCCCGAAAAATAGAAATACACAAAAAATTTTGTGTACAATTCTAAGGACTCACAGACCCCCATAACACCCACAGACCTCAGGTTAAGAAGTCTCAGTAATCTAGCAAAGAATATTTAATGGACAGCTGAAAAGCTTAATAAAGGAAAAAGAAAAATCAATTAAAATCCCCATTGCTATTTTTTTTTTAATATTTATTTTGAGAGAGAGAGAGTGCATGTATGAGCGGGGGAGGGGCAGAGAGCGAGAGCAAGCGAGAGAGAATCCCAAGCAGGTTTTGCACTGTCAGCGCAGAGCCCGATTCGGGGCTCAATCCAACAAACCATATGATTAGGACCTGAGCAAAAATCAAGAGTTGGAGGCATAACAGACTGAGCCACCCAGGCATCCCTCCCCGTCGCTATTTCTTGGGTATCTGCTCTATTCGGTTTTCTAAAACCCTCACCAGGATTATTACTTACCTATGTAATATGTATTTCACAAACAAGAAGATAACATCTGATAAGCCACAGAGAAGCCACTAAACTTGGGTTGTCAAACAACAAAGCAGGGATCTCTCAATTCTCCCATCACTGGCAAACAAGCAGATGAAGTACTGGAATGGGTTCTAGTGCTACTGGGGCTTGGGAACGTCTCTGGCAGTGCTGGCTGCAAACAAGCTCTGTGGCTCCCACCCCTGAATCTACAGCTACCTTTTGTCAATGTTGTTCTAGGTCTTTCTCAGCAAGCAGAGCCAGAAATGGCCCAGGTCTCCAGAAGCTCCCCGACTCCCACACATCTGTCTGCTGTAAGCACAGCTGGATATTTAGCTAATGATGAGCCTGATTCAAAAGGGCTTTTATGAAGCAAATATTCTCAAGATGCTGGATACTGTGGTATACGACTTGAATGCATGCCATCACTGTGACTCCCACTCCAATGCCAGACACTGCCTCTGCACTGTGTCTTTGGTGAGCCCTGCTCCAATCGCTTACGGGAGAATGAGGCCACAGCTAGAACACCCCAGAGAGGGCAGTGTTGAACTTACTTTTTATTTTACTTAAGTCAACACTACCCACAACGTGGTGCTCGAACTCACAGCCCTAAAATCAAGAGTCACCTGCTCCACCGACCGAGCCAGCCAGGCGCCCCTCGAACTTAACTTTTTATTTTTTTTATTTTTTATTTTTTAACGTTTATTTTATTTATTTTTGAGACAGAGAGAGATAGAGCATGAACGGGGGAGGGTCAGAGAGAGAGGGAGACACAGAATCCGAAACAGGCTCCAGGCTCTGAGTGGGTCAGCACAGAGCCTGACGCGGGGCTCGAACTCATGGACCGCGAGATCATGACCTGAGCCGAAGTCGGCTGCCCAACCGACTGAGCCACCCAGGCGCCCCGAACTTAACTTTTTAAACTAGCAATGCCTTTGTTGTGTTATATCCTTCCATGTTTTCTATAACTAATGGTTTATAGTTTCAGTAAGGGAAACTGAAAAAACTCGCGACCATGGGGAGAGCTGGAGAGGATTTGGAGTGATACAGAATGTTTTCCTTCCCATGGCATCTCTGAGGGTAACAGACTGTATTACGCATAAATCTGGGAAATAAAAATATAAACACACACTCTCTCTAGTCCAGTGGTTCTCGACAGGGATGATTTTGCTCCCTGGGGACATCTGGCAATGCCTGGAGACATTTTTGGTGCTCATCAATTTGGCAGGGGGTGCAACTGGCATCTCACGGGGGGAGGCAAGGGATGCTGCTAAACATCTATAATACACATGAGAGCCCCCACACAAAGAATTATTTGGTCCAAAACATCAGTCACGTCAAGGCCAAGAAACCCTGCTCTAGGTCACATGAGACGCATTCAAATGTGGTTCATTTCTGCTGCTCTGCCTCCTCGGTGAAGTGGAAGCGGACCTCAGGACAGTGAAAGGCCCACTGCCAGAGAGCTCTGTCTGTTGAAGCTGCACTGTGAGCACTCGGTGAGTCTCCGAGGGTGGGTGGGAGGCACTCTGAGGTGGCGTATTGTGCTGGAGCTGGAGGCCCAGCAGCGGGGAACAAAAGGCCGACACAGGCTGAGGAGAGCAGCTGCTAAGAGGCAACACCTGACCCTCTTGAGGCATTCCTCAAAGTACGATCTACTGGGAGGAGGGGATATCATACAGATGTCCAGCCCTAAGGAAATGGATGAGTACATTATGGTGTACTGGAATTTCCATTGGTACATCACACGATGTAAAAATAACAACCATGAAGACACTCCAGCATCGTGGTAAAGAGTGAAAACACAGTTGGGAGTAAAAAGCAGAATGCATTCCTATATACACAGTATGACTGAATGGGTACAAGAGTAGAGGGGATGAGGGAACTGCAAAGATGGCTGCCTACAGTAACAGGTCAATCCTTTTTCCTTTTAAGATTTCCTTTGATACCATGGTTTCAATGTTTAATGATTTTATGTATGTTCAAAACACAAAAGTTGAGGGCCAACAGTCAAAACGCCTTCTTTCAAGATTTTTCTTTGGCAGATTTCCAAAGGTCATGGGAAGGTAGGCTCTCGGGGGTGTGGTACCCAGAGTTGAAGCACAGTGGGTGTAGCTCTGTGTGTATTATGATTACATGTATGCATACGCCCTGCTATTCTACACTTCGGAGTGAGAAAACCAAATCTGGCTTTTAAAATTCTTTTCGAAATGCTTATTTGCAGCTGAAGTTGTTCTTTGAGGACATTAAAGTGTGGAAAAGGAACATGCCTCTATACCAGTGGACTCTGGTGACTCAAAGTCAGAAACTACTCACCACAAAGTGGATTCTTAGATAAATGCTACCTCTTCAACAGGGAACTAAGTGGCAAGCTTGGGGAGGAAGACTTGGCAAATATAAAAAAAACGCCAGAGGAGTGAAAGTCAGTAACTCACCGGGAGTTATTATGATGGATATTACACGCCCGGGCCATTAGCACCACAATAATTGGTCGAAAGGCTTTTCCTTTACCATCGAAGTAGTATTCAGACATTTCCTTAAGTTCAGTTGTAGATATGACTAGTTCCTGGAATAAAGTTTCTCTGTGTCAATATGGCATCACAATGGCACAAAAGTCAACAGGATTTCTTTTACAAAACCCTGATTTGATTTCAGTGGACTCAGTTGTACTCAGGGTACTCATTTCACTTGAGAAATTCAACACTCAGCTGGAAAAGGTGCTAACACTGTATTGTCCCAAAACTGGCTGTCCTGCAGCTGGGCCACAAGCAATGCCTGGCCCGTCTGAGTGGCCTAAGGGCAAGGGTGAGCAGTGCCGCCTGCCCCTGTGACTCCAGCAGACTCCAGGGATGAGCAGGAAAGTACCAGGTGGCCCAGGGACTCTGGGCCAGTAACAGCTGGATACAGTGACAGCTGGATAGGGGCAGGTAGCAGCTTGGAAGATGGAGGGGAGAGGACAAAGACAGGGAGTGTGGGAGCCAATGAAGCAGGTGTTAAGGGAGTGTCTGGGATGGGGAGACAAAGCTGTGTATCAGGGGCAGGAAGACAAGAGGACAGCCAGGGAGAAGCAGGGATCAGTAAGCCTGACTCGGCCAGACAGGTGAAAGGTTCACAGAGGAAGTTTCAGACACAGTTTGCCAGACTGTGAGGAGCTTACAATTGAGTTGGGGAGATAAAATTTCTTAAAAATATAAAATGTTCATGGGGCGCCTGGGTGGCGCAGTCGGTTAAGCGTCCGACTTCAGCCAGGTCATGATCTCGCAGTCCGTGAGTTCGAGCCCCGCGTCAGGCTCTGGGCTGATGGCTCGGAGCCTGGAGCCTATTTCCGATTCTGTGTCTCCCTCTCTCTCTGCCCCTCCCCCGTTCATGCTCTGTCTCTCTCTGTCCCAAAAATAAATAAACGTTGAAAAAAAAAAAATATAAAATGTTCAGAATGGTAACTTGGGTGATGACATAATTAAATTAAATGTAGTAAGGGGTGCCTGGGTAGCTCAGTCGATTAATCATCCGACTTCGGCTCAAGTCATGAACTTGCAGTTTGTGAGTTCAAGCCCCACATCAGGCTCTGTGCTGACAGCTCAGAGCCTGGAGCCTGCTTCAGATTCTGTATTTCTCTCTTTCTCTCTCTCTCTCTCTCTCTCTCTGCCCCTCCCCTGCTCACCCTCTGACTCTGTCTTCTCTCTCTCTCAAAAGTAAGATTAAAAAAAATTAAAAAAAATAAATGTAAATTAAATCAAATGCAGTAAAAGTTCAGAGAAGGGAAAAATCAGCATGGGCTAGAGAACCAACTATTTAATGGAGGGTATAAGCTTTGATCTGGGACTAAAGAACAAGAAGGATTTTGATTCATGAAGAGAAGGGAGAGGCTTCCAGGCGATGGACATGTGTTTACTGTACCTGCCTCTCACGGACTTGCTATGATGAACCACAGCTTATGTCCCCAAAGAAATGGGAGCTAAGAATGGACCCAGAGGACCATCAGCCAGGCTCAGGTGAACACAGTACAGTGGGACAGGCTTTAACTAAGATAGCGACTTTAGTACCAAACACAGTAATAAACGCAGAGACTGCAAAGTAAAATGAGTCCTATAAGGAGCTCAGTCTAGAGGGTGAGAGGTACAACGATAATTACAATACACAGTGTGATGGGTGCTGCTCTGAAGGTAAGCTCCTCTGGGAGCACAAAGGGGGCCCTGCTGGCTGGGGAGGGGGAGGCAGGAGAGCAACAGTGACAGGGCCACAGAAGCAGCAGTGGCCTGGCCTAGACTGTGGGGATGGAAGGCAAGAAACAGACAAGGAGGACGTGAAAGGAGAAGAGGAACAATTCCAGGATCCTGCCTGGGGTTCCCAGGCGGCACCTTCAATGAACAGGAAAAACAAGAAAAAACAATTAGGAAGGGAAAGCAGAGTTTCAGATAGGTTACATTTGAGACAGTCATGGACATTCCATGGAGCTGACCAGGGAGTAGTTAGATGCGTGGTTTTAAGAGAGACAATTCAACCTGGAACAGACATATTATTTGGGAAGTGTTCCACGTTGTTGGGAGTGGTCAACAGTGTCCAATGTTCAATAAAGTCACAGGAGATAAAAACTAAGTGTCCACTGGATTTAGCAGAAGGTGCTACGGAAGCTACGGGCTGGCAAAGGCAGTTTTAGAGGGGAGCCTGGAAAGGAAGCTGCAGAGGGACGCTGGAGGAAACTTGAAAGGGCCAAAAGAAAGAGGCAGGGAATACCGTACTGGAAGGGAAGGGGGAACAAGGCTCAAGGGATGGCGCTTTAAAGGATGAACAAACTGGAACACCAACATTGGCTGTGAGAGAGGTGAAGAGGGAGAGCCTGCAGAGAAAGGAGAGGGAACAGGCAATGGCGGGACTAGTTCCTAAGGCACTGAGGAGGCAAAGGGCACGGGACTAAGCTGGAGGCAAAGGGAGGCCTGGAAAGGCCTTTCCTCCTGGAAAGGGAGGGAACATTTACTTCACTGAGGTGGGAGGAAAGCATGCAGATGGGTACGTAAATGGTAACAAAGCAGGTGTCCAGAGAGTGACTCCTAAAGGCCTCCCCTCAGTCTATTAAATAGGAAGTGGCCGTTGCTATGAGAACAGGAGAGTAAGGTAAGGGTTTGAGGAGGAAAGTGGAGGACCCTGAAAGGGAAGGAAGCTGATGAGGGGCACATGAATATTTCTGGGCAGCATCTGAGAATCCACCAAAAGTTTTATGGATAAAAGCATTTAATACATAAAGCCCCATTTGGGGGCAGTCTGGCACTGATCTTCAAGCACTTCAATATGCCTGGAGCAGGTGAAGGCATAAGGGAGGGTAAGGACCGGTTTTTTCAGTTCCCCAGTTCTGTGATAATGCCACTCTGGATGGGGACATGTACTGCACCCTCCATACCGCCCCCCTATGTTGCCCAAGAAACATTTGAAACTTGACACTCATGAATCAAGTTTGCAATGACAGTGTACACAATTCTAAGAAATCAACATTACTGACAGTACTATCAAAGCTCTCTTACCTTTCTAATGTCTTCATACAGATCTTTCAAGTCTCTCCAACCGAGTTTGAAAGGATCGATGTATTTCTCACCACTCCGTGTTCTACTACAACAGCACGCTGCTGACGTTGTGTGATGGAACCTGGGACAAGCACAAAGCACACAACGTAAGACTGAGTGCCATTCTATTAAGTGAGATAATTTCATTTTTAAGTAAGAATTATATACACATATTCATATACATATACTTGCTGGAAATTAAGCATGAATGGTCATTACAATTTAGAACACACAGAATTCTGTTCTTGCTCAACAATACATAAATAGCTTATTTTTATAATCAGGAACTCGAGAACCCACAAAATCAAATACTAAATTAGTTTATTGTATTCTGAGTTTAAATTTTATTATACTCCCATTTTTTTGAAAAGGCAGAGGTCACACAGAGTGATACCGTGGCACGTAGTGAGACAAAATATTCAATTTGTTGGAGTAGCCCCCCACAGTTTAGAACAGAAATTTACTGGCAATATGGCTAATAACTTTAGTGGTTGTAATACAGATTATAAACTTACCGTGACATACTATACCTATTTGAAAAAGCAGATGTTAAACTCTTCACAAGATTAAAGTAGGACATCTACAAAATAAAAGCATTAAGAAACCTATAAGAATATTCATGCAAAAATTGTTTATAATGCCAGATAAATAAAACCTCCATAGTTCATAATAAATACAGTCTTTAGTTGTCCCTTATAGGTAGATTGCAAACTTCAGAAAAATGATAATAAAATTACCTTATTACAAAAGCAGTATTTGTCATTATGGAATATATAAGAAAAGAACACATCTATAATCTATCCCTTTCTCCAAAGAAAGCTAGTTTCTATATTCCTATCTATCCTTTCAGATCTGAAAAGTAGTTTTAAAACAATTTCCTTCCATTTAACTAAGATTGGTCAGAGAATAGTAAAGATTTATATTCTTCAACCAGTTTAAAACAAAGAATAATCAAGCTCCCCCAAGCATCAGCCTGGATGGTGAAAGGGAAAAAGATTTCAATGTTGAGGAAGGAAATTTCCATTGCTAAACGAACACTGCCTATTTTATTTTACTATTATTTTTTAAAAATATGAAACACTTCACGAATTTGCATGTCACCCTTGTGCAGGGGCCGTGCTAGTGCTAATCTTCTCTGCATCCTTCCAGTTTTAGTGTATGTGCTGCCGAAGTGAGCACGAACACTGGGAAACATGCTGGGAAATAGTACTGCCTGATCAGCAATGTTAAAAAATGAGTTCAGTGGTACATTTTGAAAATATTAACTTAGAGATCAAGAACAGAAGACTACAAAGAGATTTAGGGGTGGTGACAACAAATGTTAGTTCCAATGATTACTGAGCACTATTATGGGCCAGGAACTATGACAGGCATGGGGGACCCAAAGATACAAACTGATGATCTTAAAGAATTCAGGGACACAGTCATTTCAAAAATTACTAATATACTGGGGTACTTGGCTGGCTCAGCCAATAGAACATGTGACTCTTGATCTCAGGATCCTGAGATCAAGAGTCCTGAGAGTGAGTTGGAGCCACACCTTGGGTGCAGAGTTTATTTAAAAAAAAAAAAAAAAAATTACTGATTTACCGATTTAATGTGGTAAGGGCTCTGTATTTAAAGTAACTATTTTGACAAAAAGGACAAATTTAGCGCAAGAAATATAAAACTAATCCACTCTACTCGCAATAAAGTCTTGCAAAGTGCTTTTACACTATGACCCTCACAAGTACTTGCTTTTATAGAGCTGGGGAACTTGAAGTTCAGAAGTCAAGCCTGAAAAACTGATATACAGATATGTTAACAATATATCAAAAGGAAAAAGCATCTAAAAAACCATATGTATTATGTGATCGCAACAAAAATTTTTACATACGTGCATGCACAAATAAGATACACAATGGGGTTTAAAAGTGTATAAACCAGGGTATTAAACATAGTAATTTCTGAATAAATAGGATTGTGGGAGTTTTTTGTTTTATTCCTTTTTTGCTTTTATATTTTCTGACTTTTTCCTAGTGAACACATATTGCTTTACACATATTAAAATGACAATAAGGGTTGACTCTGCCAGGCAGGCAGTCGCCAAGGAAGACTGGCTGAGTTCTAGTCGTTCCACAATAGCATTATACATTCATTAGACCAATAAGAACATTTATGATGTCCCAAGAAAGCGAGGTGATCTTTTGATTTAACCATTGTATGACATTTAACCTGCTTGTTTCAGCCTTTGTAATTAATTCATACAAATTCAGTATTTCATTACAATACTCAGTTTGAGACCTAATCTAACCTGGGGCAAAGAGTTAAAATTACACAGCTAATATGGAGTGCTCTGAACCACTAGGCAGCCTAATAGTTATTAAAACCATGGTCTTTGGAAGATGGATCTTGGTTCAAATCCCAACATTTCCTGGCCATGTTACCTTGTGACATCTTTCTGCTAATACCTACTCACGGAGAGATGCTGCAATTAATTCGGAGAAGTTGCGTAAAGGTCTTAGCTCAGAGCCTAACACACTGTACACATTTAATACAGTCTTTGCATATCTATAGTATCTACAGTATTTCATGTCTACTCAGTCAAGGTATCTTCTGCTTTAAGATGGAGCCATGTTTTCCAAAGGAAAGCTTGTGCACTGTTGGTGGGAATTCAAACTGGTGCAGCCACCATGGAAGACAGCACAGAGGTCCCCCTAAAAATTACACAGAATTCCCATATGATCCAGTAATTCCATCACTGGGTATTTACCCAAAAAATATGAAAATAAATGCTAATTCGAAATGGTATATGCACCCCTATGTTTATTGCAGTATTATTCACAATAGCCAAAATATGGAAGCACCTCAAGTGTTCATTGATGGATGAATGGATAAAAATGCTGTGGTACATATACAATGGAATATTATCCATTAAAAAGAATGAAATCTTGCCGTTTATAACAACATGGATGGAGCCAGAGAGGGTAATGCTGACTTTCTAACCGAAACAAGTCAGTCAGACAAAGACAAATAGCAAAGGATTGCACGTGGAATTTAAGAAACAAAACAAATGAACAAAGAAAAAAAGAGACAAACCAAAAAACAGGCTCTTAACTACAGAGAACAAACTGCTGGTTACCAGAAGGCAGGTGGGTGGGGGGGTGGGTGAGATAGGTGAAGGGTGATGATCAACAGTAACATTTCTCTTGATGAGCACTGAGTAATGTATAGAACAGTCAAATCACTATACTGCACATCTGAAACTCATGTAACACTGTTAATTATACTAGAGTGTGAATAAATCAATAAAAAGGAGTGTCAAAGAAAAGAAGCATCCAATGCTATCAGATGGTGGGTGCCAACATCTCTCCCAATAATGCCTTCATCTGTGACCCTGTAAGTATTTGAAGTCTGGCTAGGATTGTACTGAAATGGGTCCCAGCAAAGCCCGGAGACTTTCATTTCCCATATTCTCTTTTTACGGTCGGTCTGTGGGCCCAGTTGCTATTCTCTCCCCAAATGTCCATTCTGGGTAAGTTGTGACATGTATCCACCTTGGTACAGAGCAGACATTTATAAATGCTACATATTTCATATAGGTACATGGTGTCTGAAGGGTACATGGGAATATGAAGTGTCCCAAAACCAACCAAAACAGAAAAGTCCTAAATTCAATAAACTTTTTAAAAACGAGCCTTGCGGATGAAAGGAAAACATAATAATTACTGTGTGACTGGAGAAGTCTCTAAAAAGGACAGTGAGTAGATAGATTTTGCTCAGCTTCTCTAAACAATATGGGCCTACCCATGGCACGTGGAGTCAATCAGTGCAGGAAAGACTCATGAAGCCACAGAACATGTCAATTTACAGGGGCTAAACTGGCCGGAAAGGGAGAAAACTGACTGGGCCCAAGGGCTGCAGGGCGGAGAGTCAAGCAGTCATGGTTAGTGCTGAGATTTTTACTCTACTTCAAGAAGTCACATTAAATCAAAGTTCAACGTTTCTCTACTTGTGACATGCTCAGGCCTCTTCTCCTTGCTGTGACCTTCTACCCCGTCCAGGTAGGCTCTCCCGGGCCGGGAAGCAACTACCGTAGGACCGAAATCCGGTCCACTCTGAGCATCAGCCCTACACGAAGCCTCTTCCGCCTATTCCGAGCCCACCTGGATGCCCTGGATCCCAGAGCGCTCAGAGCACCTTTTGCTCTTAAGTCCTAATTAAGAGCGCTCCTCCGGAAGCCCTGGGTGTAAATCGAAAGGAAACAGCTGCATTCGGTCTCCAGGCTGCACTAGGTCCACACGCCAGGAGACAACCTGGCTGCCCTCCCTCCACTTTCCCTGAGACCCGGCTCCTCATCCACCGCTATTTCCCCAAACCCCAAAGCGCCTGGGTCCCCAGGACCGCGCTTTGCAGACTCGCGCAGGGCGCCCCAACATCAGGCATACGCCCGGCACCCACCCCTCCACATCCTCCGGCGGGGCTCGGGCCCATCCAGCCCCGGGTCCCCATTGCAGCGCAGCCTCCCCCTGCCCCGGTGTACGTGCCGCCCGTCCCCATTCCTTCATCCGTGCGGCTGTCATTGGCGCGGTGACCTCTGCGCCCCGCCGCCGCGCCCGCCTCAGGGCCTCCTCACCTGCACGCCGTCGTCGGCAGCGGCGGGCGGCCCGGGGGGCCCCGGGCGGCCCGGGGAG